TGCCCTGAACTTCACATGAGGCACGGTCGAAACTACTTACTTGCGGCTGTTTCGCCAAACAAAATGGGAATCCTCATGCAAGAGCACGCAGAGGCTTCTGGTCATCGCTTCCTTTCGCTGAACTGCAACTTTTTGCTTCGCACAGTGGTATTTACTTATTGCATGTCTACGTAGATGTCTTCGTGGTTTGTGTCATCCCACTCCTGCACAAATGGTTATGGATGGCAACGTCATGCTCACTCGGCGAGACGTACTCTGCTGCGGCCGTTTCGCTACCAGGGTCGTTTCAACAATACAAATACAACATACCGAATCGTATCGTTGCGTATTGCGAGCTATCGGTATCGAAAAGCAAGTATCGCAACCTCAAATCGTATAGAAGACTATCGCTGCACATCGTTTTGAATCATACCGATTTGTATCGGTATCGGTTGGGGTTTGCTTTGAGGGGCCCTTTGGGGCCAGAAGGGCGGCAGCCAGCTGCTGCTGTGCTGGTGGCTGCCTGGCACGGGAGGCGCTGGCAAAGTCTTTGAGAGGCTGCTTAGAAGAGACCCTTTTTGGAGAAATGGAAAGCCAAGAAAACAGACTGAGACTGCTTCAAGCCGATTCCATATTGAACACTTACAGAAAGCGGTTGGTGTTTTCTTATGCCAGACCTCAAATAAAACTTCCACCCGTAAAAGCTGCCAGTTGCTGGGTAGCTGCGTAAGCCAAGGCCAGAAATCAACCTAACTTGGCGAGTTAGATGGTTTTTGAGGGTTCCCACTTCCCAGGGCTCATCCAGGACAGCTGCAACCAAGCGAGGCCAAAAATCAACCTAACTTGGCGAGTTAGATGGTTTTTGAGGGTTCCCACTTCTCAGGGCTCATCGGGACAGCTGCAACCAGGCGAGGCCAAAAATCAACCTAACTTGACGAGTTAGATGGTGTTTGAGGGTTCCCACTTCCCAGGGCTCATCCGGGACAGCTGCAACCAGGCGAGGCCAAGAATCAACCTAACTCGGCGAGTTAGATCGTTTTTGAGGGTTCCCGCTTACCAAGGCTCAATCCGGGACAGCTGCAACCAGCCAAGGCCAGAAATCAACCTAACCTGGCGATTTAGATGGTTTTTGAGGGTTCCCACTTCCCAGGGCTCATCCGGGACAGCTGCAACCAGGAGAGGCCAAAAATCAACCTAACTTGGCGAGCTAGATCGTGTTTGAGGGTTCCCACTTCCCAGGGCTCATCCGGGACAGCTGCAACCAGGCGAGGCCAAAAATCAACCTAACTCGGCGAGTTAGATCGTTTTTGAGGGTTCCCGCTTACCAAGGCTCAATCCGGGACAGCTGCAACCAGCCAGGGCCAGAAATCAACCTAACTTGGCGAGTTAGATGGTTTTTGAGGGTTCCCACTTCCCAGGGCTCATCCGGGACAGCTGCAACCAGGCGAGGCCACAAAACAACCTAACTTGGCGAGTTAGATGGTTTTTGAGGGTTCCCACTTCTCAGGGCTCATCCGGGACAGCTGCAACCAGGCGAGGCCAAAAATCAACCTAACTTGGCGAGTTAGATCGTTTTTGAGGGTTCCCACTTCCCAGGGCTCATCCGGGACAGCTGCAACCAGGGGAGGCCAAAAATCAACCTAACTTGGCGAGTTAGATCGTTTTTGAGGGTTCCCGCTTACCAAGGCTCAATCCGGGACAGCTGCAACCAGCCAAGGCCAGAAATCAACCTAACCTGGCGATTTAGATGGTTTTTGAGGGTTCCCACTTCCCAGGGCTCATCCGGGACAGCTGCAACCAGGAGAGGCCAAAAATCAACCTAACTTGGCGAGCTAGATCGTGTTTGAGGGTTCCCACTTCCCAGGGCTCATCCGGGACAGCTGCAACCAGGCGAGGCCAAAAATCAACCTAACTCGGCGAGTTAGAGCGTTTTTGAGGGTTCCCACTTCCCAGGGCTCATCCGGGACAGCTGCAACCAGGAGAGGCCAAAAATCAACCTAACTCGGCGAGTTAGATCGTTTTTGAGGGTTCCCACTTCCCAGGGCTCATCCGGGACAGCTGCAACCAGGCGAGGCCAAAAATCAACCTAACTCGGCGAGTTAGATGGTTTTTGAGGGTTCCCACTTCCCAGGGCTCATCCGGGACAGCTGCAACCCGCCGAGGCCAGAAATCAACCTAACTTGGCGAGTTAGATCGTTTTTGAGGGTTCCCACTTCCCAGGGCTCATCCGGGACAGCTGCAACCCGCCGAGGCCAGAAATCAACCTAACTCGGTGAGTTAAAATTAACGTCGATTGAGACCTTTTTTGTGGAGGTTTGTGAGAGTAATTTGGTGTAGTGGCGTCACATAGTCTCTGCCTCTGGCGCCTGCACAAGTGCAGGGTCGATGTTTGCTTCTTTCGGGCTTTTGGGGACACAACACGCCGAATTCGAGGTTCCCTGGCCTGTTGGCAGCACAGCTTGCACACCAGCGCGCAGCCGCCGCGCCGCAGCGGTTGAGTATATTCCTTTATCGAGATATTGTTCAATACTACTCCCCTGCTGTATCGCAAGTTTATCGGATATTCAAAGCAATACATATATCAAGAAAATCGAGTGGTATCGCGGAGCTTGCGGTACCGAACCGTATCGTCATCGAAACAGCCCTGGCTACTGAGTTTGAGAGTCCCCTATCGTTTTCCAGCGTTTCCATCCTCTTCCAGGGGTATCGTTTTTTTGAGAGTCCCCTATCGTTTGCCATGGATTTGTGAATTTTCACAATATCAATGAAACACCGCATACTAAACTCGACAGAAGTAATTTTGACGGTACTTCACATAGTCTGACTCCGAAGGGCTTGCAGAAACACGGTGGCGGTGCATCGGGGCATGAATACGACCCTCACAGCGACACCAAGGGATTTGTTCTGTCCGCATTGCAACCTTGGGAGAACGGATGTACCGGCTACAGCCCCGGACGCTCCGGACGCCAGAGAGGCCCGGTCAGAAATGGATCATCTGGTGGTTCGCAACGGTTTCTTGATCGATATCTTTGCAAAACGCGTGCGTCATGACCATGGTCACGCAGGTTGAATCTGCGCTGATGCTTGTAGCAGTCCCCTGCTATGGTTGACCCTGCCTGCAAAAGGTCAATCGGTCCCACATCCCCCAAAGTCTGCACACTGAATTGGGTTTCATTGATCCTTCGCCAGCTGGCGTCCCTTCAGAGAGTCCAACAGTTTAACCGTTTGGAGATATAAGAGAAACATCAGCATCAGTGTGAGCAAAACGCAAACCACAGGGGACACAATCACATTTGGCAACGAGCTGCAAGAAGCTTTTGCACGACAAGGGCTCATATTCTTCTGCTGCGATCTGGGTGAAATCTTGGATCGCATGGTTTTCATTGCCATGGGCCCTAAATGTGCCAATCTGCTGTTCAGCCTTGCTTCGCACAAGAGGTCTGATCAAGTTTTCTGCAATGGCATGAGACTGACTTCCGCACTGGCCTGATTGACTCTGTGCATGTCAACCCATTCGTTCACCCAACAATCAAACCCGCCGTTGCGTCAGGCTCCTGGCAGTTTACTTCCTGAATTTGTCCCATCGAAAGCCTCAGGTCCAAGCGGGAGGCCACGATCATTCCCGCCAACGCGTTCAGCTCGAGCCGGAGCCCGAGTGGGCAACCGGAGGATCGATCCAGCTGCATGGCGGAGATCCAACTTCTCTGAGCCAAGCCTCGGGCATACCTCACTATGCGCTGACCAACAAAGCCAACAAAGCTCTTGTTTGCACTGCACGGGTTGTTCTTGTATCGCCTCGCCAGTCAGGTTTTTTTGGTGGCAAAAGGGAAGAGCCCCTAGTGGTTGAATCAGCGAAAAGCAATCTCCAAATCCTCTACATGAACAGTTGGACACTTTTCGACAACTCGGTGAAATGTGTCAAAAAACAGAATGCAAGCCTCGTTTTCGCAGCCGTGCTTCCCCAAGAGAAAAAAACAAGGTGCCACACGGGTGATTCCTACAAGGGACTCCGCTCCTTGTTCGTCTATTTTGGCATGCGGGCAGGCTTGGCAACTAAAACACAAACATGTCAAACATAATTGTGACTCATTACATTTTCGTCTGCCGGCCCCTTCTCCAAAGGGGGGGGGGGGGGGCGGGGAAGGGTGGTCGTCATCGTCCTTATCGTTTGAGTGTGGGACGGTGTGGAGGCCTGGGCTTTTTCACTGAATTTGTTGTTATTTCATGAAAAAGAGTGCTTGTCATGTAGCGCAAAGCATTTCAGTGTTCGGTTGTGTTTCTCTATAAGCATAAAGGTGGGTTGACCATAAGAGACCTACTTCTCCCAAATTGTCCCGGTGAAGTATGAAGGATGCAAGTAGGAGATCTCTCATACCAGCCATTGCATGCCACCAGTTTGCATAGGAGCTAGAGAACCCATCCTTGATGACGTAAAACAAAAAACTTGCAGGTCTGCCTCCTCACAATTCCTGACCCACTGGCCATAGAGCCGGGAATCTGTAGTTAATTCAGTGTGATGTGGGGGGAACTGGGCTACTATCATTTCCTTCACAGGGAAGAGAGGGAAGGAACCTCATGAACAACTTGCACGGCCTCCAATCCCTTGTGAGCTACAGTCATGCAAAGTGGAAATCCAAGATGCTGCTTCCAGCCAACAAGGATCTGACAAGGCACCCCGCTGCATTCCATACTTGTTTCTTGATGCTACTAGCTGCATTGTATCCAAAGGGAAAAACAAGCCGCACACAAAAATGACTGAACCATGGAGAGTGCACATGGGACAATTAACTCACACCTGCTATACTACTTTTTCCGTGTAGCAACGGCGGCTGGTGCTACTCATGCAAATGCTCAAGAAGCAATCGCTAGCTAAGCGCACGAGCTGTTCAGATGCACACCTCAGTTTATAAATCAGGTGACCCATAATAGAGGTTCAGGCCTAAGCAACGAGACGCCAGTTTTTTTCAAGCCACCATCAACACCCGGAATTCGCTCCGGAACCCGCTGACGGAGGCCCCCGCCATGGCGAGGTTCAGGTTGAATCTCACATCCTGAGCGCTTTTGAATGGAAATGGAGGGGCCTTGAAAAAGAAGAAGTCCCCCAAAACTCCATCTGCCCAATCGTTTTGTTGTTTTGGTCTTACCCAGAAATGCAACCATTGCGTGCCGGTGAGCAAGATTTCAGTTGGGAACTAAACCACCTAAGGGATTCCCCCAGCCGATTGAGTCGATCTTCACGAGAGATTCGCGGCTCCTGTTGCGCGCAACACTGCGATAGCGGGATAAAGCAAATGCCTCTCACGAAGAAGCAAGCAAGTTCGTAAAGCAACTAAGGGCACTCAACAGATAGGAGGGACCTGTTGAGAGCTGGCCCACTTCATGGAACCTCATCTTGGTTGCTGTTGACTTGACCCCTCTGCAACAGGTTCATCTCTTTGTGGGTCCAGAGGAAAATCCGAGCTGTTCCAACCAACAAGTTAAAGTCCAAAGATCCGTTACCACATAGCCAGACAGTCATGGAAGGCTTCCTTTTGCCCAGGGGCCCAGCTTGCAACCTGAGAGCCTCAGATCTCAGCTCCGAGCCATCTTCCTGCGAGCGACAGGCGTGGCTTCTGGGCTGGGCCCACGACAAAAAGAAGAAGAGTGATGTGGCTATGAGTCAATTTTTTCACCACCAGGAAATGGACCGCAGGTTTGAATGTCCTTGGCTCCATTTACCAGGGTTCCAAAATGGATACCCGTTTTTGACCCACAGCCATGTTTCTTTTTGCTGGTCAGCGCAGGCACAAAGAAGCAACTTACAGGCTGAAGATCCAACCCAATCGATATTTGTGAGTTGGAGAGCTCCTCGGGGTGCGAACCAAGCGCTCAGCCCGGTTTGCCTACTTGAGCCGTTTCTAAGATGACTTCATGGGCAAACACGTCTAAGCCATGACCCAGCTCAAACCAAGACCAACAAAGGAAACACGTCCATGTGCGTGCTTTTTGTGGCGACGGACGCGAGCAAGAGTTGGGCCCAAAAACCAAAAGGTCCTTCAAGCATTTGGGTAATTATGTTTGTAGGGAACTCCCCCCCACCAAACAAAGAAATAATAAACATAGCAAAGAAACAAACACAACAACTGATTTGGTTAAAACCGGAATTTGCCCAACCTTCACCCTCCCAAGCGTTCAAGATCTGCGTCCCGTGTTATTTCCCTTGCTGTTTCTCAGCAAAAACTGAGAGCATGACCCCGAATTGAACTGAACCATCCAACACGGGGCTGTCCTCAGATCCCCTGCTAAAAGTTTAACTTTTAGTGGGTTCAATAGAACCCCCCGCACAAACCCTAAACAGATCCGAACTGGTTGGCGGGGAGCCACCAAGAGCAGGTTTCCTAGCAAAATGCCCGGGTTTCCACCCCAAATGCGTTGAGTCTTGGTGCAAGGCTTTCAAGCAAACAGGATGTCCAAGGCCTCCAAATGTTCATTGTTGGGGCACCTGTGAATGGGAAACCCCCCTTCGAAAAAAAGAAGAAACGCACAAACACAAACCATCTGCGCACAAAGCACCACTGAAAAAAAGACAGAAGAAAAACAACAACAAAAAAAACGAAACATGAAGAACATGGGGAAAACACAAAAAAACACCTGCGCTCAAAGCACCACTGAAACAAATACAGAAAAAAGAAACACGAAAAAAGAAAGAACATGGGGAAAACACAAAAACCACCGCACAAAGCACCACCGGCCTGGGAAACTGTCTGCAGCTGAGTCGCTCTACCTCCTTCTGATGCTCAGCATTGTGCGCATACCTCAGGCACGCGACGAGTCCCAGCGCGTGAGTAAAGGAGTCGCCGACAGTCGGACCAAAAACCTGGCAATGTGTGTTCTGCCTTTCCAATGGACCTACCCAAAGGTTCTCAACTCAGAAAGTCGTAACTCAGGCAGAAGAGCAGCTGGCATCCGCTTGGGACTGTGCCCTACCAGGTTGGCTGGAAAAAACACGCCCATGCCGCATCCAAGTCGCAGATTCTTTTCCAAGAGGTACTTGACCTTAGCTTGTATGGAGGATTTGGCTGATGCCAACGGCCGAGAAACTGGGTGTCAAAATCGCGAGCCGCCCAAATGCACGGCTCCACTTCGTTCCTCTTGAAAAAGGAAACTGAACAAGCTACCCTCTATAAGATCTTCCATTCGCTTAAGTCCCCAGGTAAAGAAAAACAAATCCAGTAGTGATACATTCCCCTAAAAACCAACAGGGCAAACAAAAAATCTAAGCAAATGGAAGGAAACAGAGTTGAAACCTGCTACAATGCCTTCGATTGCAGCTGGGTAACGGAGCGCAAGGATGCCGTCCATGCTTTGACCGCCTCCTCATAATCCCCTCTCTGAAAGGCCTACCAGAGACTCCCCAAGTCACGGGATGTCACCAGGTCACGGGGTCACGGGGTCACGGGATCTGGACCTGTTTCCTAAAAGGCAACCTAAGCGAGTGCGAGGCCAACAGGGCTACTTCTGGGCCCGATTTCTGATCCGCGAAAAGTTGAGAACTTTTGGTGGGTTAAATGGAAATCCCCACTAAACACTAAAAGGTAAAAGAGCTAAGGAACCGGATGGCTGGGAACCACTTCAAGGCTTCACTTTCACGTTGCGAAACTAAACACTCCTTGCAAGAAAACCGACCGCCTCGATGAGCGGGAAACACCATGTTTGCTCCTTGCCCGCCCTGCCTTCCGTCAGCCCTGTGGGGCCTTAAGGCCATAGTGCCCTAGGACGTTGGGGGAAAAGGAAAGGATTGGGGAGCCAGGCGAATGTGAAAATTATTTGTGCCAATAGTAGCAAAGTTTGTATAACATCTTTGGGCTTTGAGCATTTCCTCACTTCAAAGGGCCAAAGTCTGACTTGTTTTACCAATTTGTCTGCCCCAGAAGTATGTCTTCATACTGGGGAAGTTGGAAATCAAACAATGGAGAAACCGTGACACGGCAAATCCGCCACCAACACCCGCGAATAGGAGACACAAAGGTGCAGTCTCACAAAAGAAACAGGGCCCAAAACAAACCAACGAAAACCGAATAAAACAACACCCACACAGAGAGAAACCGGATACAAAGAGCAAACAAATTACATAACAAGTCCAGTCCCTAGGGTTCGAGGCCCCTATGAAAAAAATGGCAATGACCCAATTTGGATAAGAGTCCTTAGGTAAATAATGATGGTTATATTACCCCCCTTTGATTTAATGGTTCAAACCTACCCAGGGCAGTAGCAAACAAAAGCGTGGAGATCGAGCCAAAGGCAGGCCCAAGCTCTCCCCCAAAGGAGCAGTTCACAAAAGTTGGCGACCGAAAAACCAAACCCCACATCCCTTTATCACCCTTATGGTGGCAAACAAACTCAAAGCTTTTTGCAGCCTGCTCAACATAAACAGAGCAAACACACCTACCTGAGAGAACCAAACGAGAGCCAGCTCAGCTCCCACACAACCCGAAAAACAACTTGAGAGAACAAAAACACTCGCCAGCAGCAGAGGGAAACTTTTTCCAGCCATCCCACCCAATCGGGGGAAAAAATAAACACTATAATACTAATACTTATCATAATAATAATAATCATAAAAATATAATAAAACACATATACATACATGTCAAAAAAAAAAAAAAAAAAAACGCTGGGACCCGGTTCGCCAGGTTCCCACCTCCTTTCCTCGGAGCTCCTCCTTCTCTCTGGCGTCCGCAAGCTTCGAATTCGCCTGCGAATCGGTTGGGTCCTGGAGTCTCCTTCTGACCCCTTAACAGCTGGTTGGTCATTAAGTAGTGGGGTGTCATGACCCCATTTCCCTTAAAAATGGTTGGTGATTACCGAAAGTAATGGGGTGTCATGGCCGGAGACCCAGTTTTAAAGGGCCACGGAGTTCCAGGGTGTGTCCTTCATCTTTGCTTTTGCTCCTTGCGATGGGCGAAGTTTATGCTAGGTCCTCCAGTAGAGGTTGGTGAGAATAAGGGTACCCGATCTTTTTTCTGAAGTCTATTTTAGTGGAAGCCTCCCCACCAAGAAGGTTGAGTAAAAAAGAAAGGGGCACCTAGTATGGTTGGACCTATGGTTGGACCCCAGGCCTTGCTTGCTTTTCAAAGGGAGGCACAAGGAAGCAGTTTCGAGTTTGGGGGGCTTCCCCACTTCGCTGCCCCCGGCTCCTCCGGCTCCTCCGGCTCCTCCGGCTCCTCCGGCTCCGGCTCCTGCGCCGGAAAAAGCTTCAAACCTCCGCGGAGATTGGACCGGACTCGGCATGGGAGACTTCGAGACGTCGGGTTTGGGTCGGCCCTTTGAACCCCCGGCTGTTCAGCTTCCCTCCAATTGGTGCTTTGGATGGGTTTGGGGATGTTAATCCCTGGTTCTTGTAGAAAGCCCCCCCTAACCAATCCAAACCACCTATCCAAACCACCAATTAGAGGGAAGCTGAAAAGTGATGCTTGGGGGGAAGCCATGGATCCTAGCCTCGAACACATGCTCGGGTCGGATGTGGAAAAAGCCTTTGGAACGCCAAAGAAACTGCCACCCTACTGCATGGATGCAGCTTGGGAAAGGGGCCCTTGCTGCCCGATGCCTTTTGGGAGGTCAAAAGCCGACCCTTTCTGCCGTAAGATGCTGGACAACACACACATACCAAATCCATTATATATATATATTTGTATATATATATACAAACCAATGAACCTGACGTTCGGCATTCCCTTCAAAGGGAAAATTGTCTTCCAGCGCCCCCGTGTGAGGTTGGTGGAAGAGTACCAAGTTTGACCCATTTGGGTTGGGCACGGAGTGTGGGCTCGTTGGGCTCTCTCAAAGCTCCCAGGCTCCTTTCTCGATTGCCACACGTCAGAGAATGCTTTCTGAGAAGGCATTCAACCCCATGTCGCAAAAACCCACGTCTGAACCCGAGATTTCGTTTGGGGCCATGCTTTTCTTCACAGATCAAAAATCTCTAAGTAAAGCCTGGTTTATCTACATGGGCCTGGCCCAAAAAAAGCAAAGTTCATCTGGGAGAATAACTTACCCCCGGGGCTTCTTACAGAAGCCGACACTTGGGAAATAACATATATGGGTATGTCATAAAATTGGGGGCCCCGCCAATTTCGGCTCTCCTTTTGGTTTCCCTTCAACACCCCAGAAAGGGTTCTCTCAAAGAAAGACAAACCCACATTTAGTTTTCGGGGCTACAGCCTTTTCACCGAAGCTTTCGAATGGTGAAAAAGTCGGCGTTGAGCAACCCAAATGTCAAACTTCACAACCCCTGGTATGGGCTGGCAACAACCTTTGTTGTTTGCAGCCCCCTGCTAAAAATGAACAGGAGCCACAAAAAAAAAACAAGCAACTTGCCAAGAACAGTGAAGCAAATAATCAAGGCCTTTTGCCTAAAGCTTTTTGTTGGGGTTGGCAACACATAGCCTCGGTAAGCATGAAAAAGCCGGAGAAAAGCCGCGGTACGGCCTCTCTGAGAATCAATGCCTTTCCGTGATCCGCCCAACATGTCTAGGTCCTCCAGTAGAGAGGTTAGAATAAGTGTACGGTTTTTTCTGCAGTTTTTTTTTAGTAGGGGAACCTTCCCCCAAAAAAGGGCAAAAGTTAGATGCGAAAACATCCGCTGTAGATCTGCATAGGTACTTCACTACTAGTAGTCTTGGCCCAGGCAAACATCTTGGGTGTTTGACTCTGTTCCACATACCCAGAGGGTACAGGTAGCTCCTGATGGCTTTTCAAGGCTCAAACAACATCGAAGCATTCTACCTCCTTGCTTTCATTTGGCTAAGACCCCTGGCAAAAATCAAAACATATTTCCAGTAGTGATAGATTCTCTTTGAAACCAACAGTGGGAAAATAAACAAATATATATTCTTAAGCAAATGGAAGCTTAGCAGGTACTTGGATCCTCTACACTTTTTGATGGCTCAGGTTGACCCAAACTTCGGTCCTCAACCTCGTCACCCATGGTGCTTAGACAATCCTTCCCATCAGCCGTTCTCGCGAATGGATCTGCAGCCAGTTTAATGTAACTCGGTAGGGTGGCAAGGTCTGCAGGATTTTTGCCAACTAAGGAAGCCGGAAGCAAGGAAACAATGCAAGCCAAAATCTAGCTATGTTTTGACCCATGTCCTTACACTCACTTGCTCAAAGGACCCAAAAATAAAAGGTTTGCCTTTGGGACCTCAATTACACATGGGCCAACATGGGAAAGGTCGATTCGCTTTGGGCAAGTGAGTGCAGAGTTCCTAGCTCCGATAGGCTCCCTGAAAGAAACTTAAATGGAGACGCCTAGCTCCAAAAGGCTCTGCAAGCGTCTCTTTTCCTTGAGGGTCACAAGAAGCTGCCAGGATGCAGGCGCAGTGTGAGAAGCAAAACCGAGCGCTCACTGCACATTGATGGGAATCCGAGACCCCAAACATGTCCGCGAGGAGACGTCCAAGAAAGAAACGTCTCTTTTTGAGAGCGGGCGTTGGGGATGCGATTCTACTTTTTCCAGTAGAGAGGTTAGAATACGGGTATACCGTATACCAACCTGTTTTTTTCTGTAGTCTATTTTAGTAGGGGAACCCTCCCCAAAAAAGGGGGTTAAAAAAGGGCACTACTGGGGGACCTAGACACCGTATCTTGCGGGCCTTTTGTGACCAACAGGGTAGGTAGGAACTGGACGAAGTAAGACCTTCGACAGGGACAGCATTGGAGCATCCGAATTTCGGACCCGAAACCTTCGAAGCTTTCGGACGTATTAAACAGGCCGTGCTCTGATCTCAAAGTGTTCCACTTGTGGGTTACTTTTTTGAACCCAACCACTCAACAACCTTTAAACACACAAACAAAAAAACAACAACAACAACTAGAAAGCTAAGGAACCGGATGGCTGGAACCACCAAGGCATGGGACTGTCCGAACTTCAGCATAGCTTCTTGGAGGTGCGGCCGAGCTAGCAAGTTGTTGGATCAAAGTGGGCTAGAACCTCAGGGGGGCGTGTAAGTGGGCTATAGCCTAGCAACTTACGAACCTGGCCGAACACCCAAGTTGTGTTTGTGGGGTACTCGGTTCTTTTTGCCCATCTACTTCAGCCAGTTTTTGGCTTTTGAGATTCCCAGGGACTATGGCTATGGATCTTGGCAAACTCTAGCAACCTCACGTGCCTCTTCTCTTCAAGCCGCAAGCCTTCCCAAAAAACCGAGACACGGGCAAATGGCTATCCAGGGCTGATCGGTGCTTTCAAGCTGTGTTCTATATCCCGAAGGGCCTGGAAATCCGAAGCTTTTTGGGGCCTTGACGAAAAATGAGCCAAACTAAGAAAACCAAAAGGTCAAAAAGTCGACTGACAACTGAGGTGACTGCAAACTGCCATAGATTGCCAGTCCGTTCCATCCGCTTGCTGACCCAGGCAAATTATTCCGCGGACTGCAAACTGCCATAGATTGCCAGTCCGTTCCATCCGCTTACTGACCCAGGCAAATTATTCCGCGAGATTGATGGGTACCATTCGCCCCTTTTGGGGAAGCTAAACGTAAGCAACCCATATTGAGGGTTCTGATTCCTATCTTTGAGGCACCTCCATAGGGACCCCATGAAACAAACAAATGACTCGCTCGCCGCTTTTTCTTTCAGGGCGTAAAGATCTGCATCTTCTCCAGCAACTTAGATCGACCTGAGCCCAAAGCTTCTGGTGGTCGCTGGGCCACCCAAAGAAGGAACTGGAACTGCCACTTCTATATGTCTTCTGTTTCCGCTTGTCGCTCGCTCTTTTTTTGTGTGTTGTTTCTCCTCGTTTTTCTGGCTTGCTTGTAAGGGAACCATGGCCAGAAGTTTTCCCCTACAAAGAGGTCTCCTAAGTTAGACTTTCCGCATCAAACCCTTGGAACGGAAGACCAACCCTTGCTGTGGGAGCACCTGCAGTAGGAGGATGAAAGTCCCCGGAGAATACCAACTAGGTCCTCCAGTAAAGAGGTTAGAATAAGGGTACCCTATTTTCTGTTCGGTAGTCTATTTTAGTAGGGGAACCCTCCCAACCAAAAAAGTTGATGAGAAAGGACACCAATTGCTGGGGGACCTAGCCAAGGTCCACCCAAAGCCTTGAGAAATCCGACCGTCGCTTCCCCGGGGGTTGATTGTGGCTCATGTCATGCGGCATTCAATACCGTGGATGGACGGAATCCCAAGCGGCGCCGCCTAAGAAACAAGGAAGTATACGATTCCCGTGCAAACTGCCTGGAGTCTCCATGACCCTGAAAAAATGAAGTCGTTACCCAAAATCATGGGGGCATTGGCCCATTTTTGATTCGGGTCACGGAGACTCCAGGTACCAACAAACAATGGTTGGGTATGGTTTCTTAGGTGGTGCAAAAAACTTCGTCCACCGACAGTGTTAATGTCATTCCTTGGGCCCGGAGCCCGATGTGTTTTCTCCAAAAGACAATTCTGGTTTCACGCCCAAAAAGATGCTTTCTGGTAAGGGAATACACGGAAGTATCCAGACCCCTTTATGAAGGTACTCCGCCTTCTATACCACAAACCATGTAAAGCCCTCGAAGACAGAAGTGTAATTACTCAGACCGATGGGAGTCTGCCACTGCAGATGGAAGTTTGGGTCAACCACCACTAAGTCGAACTTTCCGAACGGGACGGTTCCGATGCCCAACGCAAATGGATTCATAAACCCGGTGAAGTTCCCATTCCGCCGAATATCAAGGTAAATCTCACTGGGGACTCAAGCAGGGATATGGGTTTGTGTCAACACATGGGAATCCGGAAACCGGACCCCTGAAATGTTAGGTCTGCTAAGTCCTCCAGTAGAGAGGTTAGAATGAGGGTACCCGATTTTTTTTTTTTTTTCGGTAGTCTGTTTTGGCAGGGAACCCTCCCAACCAAAAAAGTTGGGTGAAAAATTGGCACCAATTGCTGGTGGACCTAGTCTATGTGTCTGTTTCCGTTTGTTGCTCGGTTCTTCGTGTTCTCCTCTTTTTCCCGACGTGCCAAGGGCTTCGTCCAAAGGCGGGCGCCCCGGCAGATCGGGCACTCAGCGATGTCTTGCTGCTGCCCACAGAACCTCAGCTGTTGTCGCCCCGAGAAGCTGCGAAAACGTACCCTCACCACTTCTCGGTTGCTTTCTGCTCCCCTGCTAAAAGTTTAACTTGTAGTGGTTTAATGGAAACCCTATTGGCAAAAAGTGAAAGTCCGAACATCCAAGCAACATGCACCGAAGACTTGGATGCGGTTCTCAAAAAAACGGTACCAAAGTGGAACCCTGGTAAGTGGAAACATGGACCAACGCCTGCGTAACCCCATCCTCGTTCATTTTGAGGCACACCCACTTGGATGCTCGGGTCACTTCGTCAGCGGGGATTGCCCACTGGGCATTTCACCCAAGGATCACCCCACCTCGGGGGGCTTCTAAGTCTTCAAAAATGGGCCAATGACCCCATTATTTTGGGTAACGACCCCATTTTGAAGGGTCATGGAGACTCCTGGCATAATCCGCAATCTTTTTAATTCTGGCGGTCCGCCCTGGAAGCCACTCACAAAAGCCCGCCCTAGCGATCCCCCAGGAAAAGTCAAACCCGTAGAATGGTTGGATAGCCCATTCTTAAGTTTCTGACGGACATACATCCTGCAGTCAATTGACGTCCAAAGGGTCCAACTAATCAAACGTCAGTGGTTCATATCACTGCATAAGCTCCGAGTGAAATTTGCCCAGACTCACCTAGGAAACTTCTCTGGGATATGCAACCTGGGATTGTCGTAAGCCACACCGAAAGGGACGAATTCCATCTGGTCCTGGAAAACCGGGTTGCTTCCGTAGAACTCCTCCGAGTCCATGTCTCGGAAAAGCGGGTTGCAACCCAAACAGAGATGCCGTTTCCGGTTGCTCCTACAAGTTGGAAAAGAAGGACACGCAAAAAAAGAGAATGGTCTTTGCAGTGACTTAAGCCTGCACATGCGAAGGGCAAGTAGTGGTCCAAATAATTAAGAGGGCCTCCAATGGTTTCCCTGTAAACCATCCAAACAGGGCACACTCAAAACACGCAGACACACACACACACATACCTCATCTGCCAGCCCCCGATGTCCGACGCTCTGGCACTTGCTTCCCCTGAGGCTGGCGCGTGCACATGGCGAGGTGCTTGCAGGGCAAGCCCACGACGTTCGCGAGATTGTCCATGCAAATCACGCACACGGCCTGTGGAGTGGCAAAAAAAACAGGAAACCTGCTAAATACTTGTCCACCTGAACTCGTGCACCTAGAACCTAAAACTGAGTTCCCTTAGCGGATGCATATCTAAAACTCACCTCATACCATGAGGGCCCCTTAACGGATGCACCCAAAACTCACTTCATACCATGTGAAAACCCAGGTGATATCCCCCACAGCCCCGGAACCCTCTGGAACCGCATCTGCGGGTTTCCTCCCAGAAACCTGCCACCCAAGCACCAATCTTCTCGCTTCCAGCCGGGGAACCCGTCACTGGTGACCCTGGGGTTCAAACCACCATGAAAACCATGGGGGTTCACACCACCCTTGTTTACCTAAGGCGACTTAAGGATTGTCATCATCCAAAGTGGGCCCTTGCCATTCTTTAAATGGGGGGGCAAGGAACCCTAGGCGCAAAGGTGGCATCCCATGAGCGTGGCCATGTTGCAGAGGGCTGGTTGGGCCCGCGGTTGGATGGGCACATCGCCGATCGGAAAGCACTAGTTGGGACGGATGAAGCCCTCTTTTTGTGTTCAAGCCAGCAATGCCAAGTGCTCCATCGACAAACTGACGGGAAATGATCTTAGACCCCCGGAAACTGCGTCATCTTCAGCCGAACTCAAAAGGACATCTATCATGAAGCCAGTAGGCCCAGTTATGGAATGTATATTGATTGTTTGCTTCACTTCGAGTCACTGGTAGAATACGTAAACATCTATTCTAAGTCTACCCCAGCTATATGCCTGAGCTAAGCCTGAAGCACAGGGCCCGGCCTCCCTTGTTCCCAGTGTTCGACCAAAGCCTAAACGATCATGTTTGAAACCAC